CGTGAGTGTATTTCCTTTTGTGGTGAACACACTTAATGAGTTTTGCATAACGCCCGTACAAACAAACGCTAGTGCTCGCGCGCTGTTTCACTTGTGTTCACCGTCTAATTTTTTTTTATACAACTTAGAATGGCGAACAAGCTGACGGCCCACCTGATGGAAAGTGGTAACCGTCGCCTATAAACATGAACAGTACCATGGAAATAACAGAGTATACTGTTTCGCCCATGATACCCCCATGCGTTGCTATTCCTGAGAACTCAGGTGTTATTCCTCTGTACCCTGTAAATTCACGCCATATCCCACCCTTCAAACCGAAACACAGCCATGCAAACACAGCTGTTTCACGGTTGAAACACGAATGGGACAGAGGTACCCGAGCAATCGACTTTTGTACAAAGTCTCCCTCTGGTAAATTATTATTATTCTAGATTTATTTTTATTATATTCATAGATTTATTTATATTTATATATTTTTATTACTATTATATTTATATATTTTTATTACTATTCATAAATTTATTCGCACACACAGTAGATAAATAACATTAAAATTCAGAAGTAAAATCTCTGATAAAGCCTTAGTTAATATTATAAATGTAAAAAAAGTTTTAAGTTTGTTTTTTCATTTGTTACCTCTTAAGACCTAAACGGCTCAACCAATCATTTAGAAACACGTATTATTTAAAATAAAAAAATACATCACTACATAGTATAAAATAATGTCGCTGTCGCTGTCTGTCCGTCCCCATGTATGCTTAAATCTTTAAAGCTACGCAACGGATTATGAAGCGGTTTTTTTTAAATAGATAGAGTGATTCAAGAGGAAGATTTGTATGTGTAATACATGCATAATATAGTAGTGAAACACTGATAATTTTAGAGGTTTCTAATGTGATATGATGTAATGTGCATCCGTGCGAAGCCGGGGCGGGTCGCTAGTAAATAATATTTAAAATATCATGGCGATTTCCATCGAAACCAACGAAAAAGTATTCCTGTTGAATTTATGATGTACCAATAGAGCTGACTTCATTCTAACCTAACATCCCTCAGCGGTGCCTCGCTAGTATAAAGTAAACTAATTCCATTTTCATCCTTAAAAAATATCTCCTGTCTACCCCATTTTTTTTATTAGGTACAGTCGTATTCATATTTATACGGGCTGAAATCAAAATTTAGGGTCGGCAATCCGCGCGTAATACTCCTGGTAGGGGGGAAAGAGATTGTTAGCAATGGAGTTTAACTGTCCTATTGCTGGCAATATGCCCTATTAGGTCGACCTCCAAGTCGTTCCCCCTGGAAACCATCGTGAACAATTCTTATTGAATTCGTCACGATGAGCTAACTGACCTACTTCATCCTCACCTATCATCGTTCACTGGTACTCCGACGGTGTATACCAATAGCGCGGGTGGGGTTACCATTCCATTATCACCCATTAAAAAAATACCCCTGGTATTGCAGGCGTTCATAGGCTACGGTAACCGCTTACCATCAGGTGGGCCGTATGCTTGATTGCCACCTCAGTGGTAAAAAAATCACTAACAGTATTTAAATTAAGAAACTACTTATGTTTATCTTATTTTATCTTTTTGATTGAAATAGTTACTTTTGGCTTAATTTTAAAGATAAAAAAAAACACCAATTTCAATAAATCAATCACTTTAAACTTTCGCTTTGTTTACACATATTTTAAATACACTATCGAGACTTATCGAAACCTTGGCAATAAAAAAGCAGGCATGTAGGTACTATTTACCTGCAAAAATATATCATAGCGTTAACTCCTGACATTGTTAATAAAATCAAATACTTTACTGAATATAACCACCAAAAGGAGACTGTACAAAAGTCGTTTGCTTGGGCACCTCTATCCCATTTTGTGTTTCTACCGTGAAGCAGTTGTGTTTGCATGGCTGTGTTTCAGTTTGAAGGGTGGAATAAGGCAATGAATTTACAGGGTACAAAGAAATAACACCTGAGTTCTCAGGAATGGCAACGCATGGGTTGTATCTTTGGCGAAACAGTATACTCTATTTTGTCCAGAGTACTGCTCATGTTGGTTACCACATTCCATCAGGTGGGCCGTCAGCTTGTTTGCCATTCTAAGTTGCTAAAAAAAATATTTCGAAACTCCGAAAACAGCTTACAAAACACTCTCTCTACAAAACACCTACTAAATAAACAGCTGGATACGCCACGTTAGTATGAAAGGTTGAAACTTTATATAATTATTTTTAACCAAGCATGTTTTTTTACTGAACTATCTCTCATCTATTGGTAGAATTCTCCCAAAAGACATTAACTTCAAACAACTTCACTCCTTTTTATTTTTACCACAAGGTGGCAAACGAGCATATAGCCCTTCTGATAGTAAACGGTTACGGCCTATGGACGCCTGCAATACTGAGGGTGTCGGGAGAAAGGGATTGTTAGTGATGGAGACTGAGAATCCCATTGCTAGCAATGTACCCAATCAGGTCGACCTACTCGCGGTTTCCCCTGGAAACTATCATGGTTAGATAATTAACTCTAACTCCTTTTTTAAAAAATAATAGAATAATGTTATAAATGTATATATATATATATATATATATATATATATATATATATATATATATATATATATATATATATATATATATATATATATATATATATATATATATATATATATATATACATATATATATATATATATATATATATATATATATATATATATACACACATTATATATATATATATACATTATCTATATTATGTATGACGCGTTGATGTCTTTTCAATAAAAACATATTGTTACTAATTAATATTATTAATTAAAACATTAAAAACATGTTATAAAATGTTTTACGCTTCGTAAATAAAACAATAAGTTTATCTTATGCAACTGAGAATGGCGAACAAGCTGATGGCGCACCTGATGGAAAGTGGTAACCGTCGCCTATAGACATGAGCAGTACCATGGACATAACAGGGTGTATTGTTTCGCCCATGATACCCCCCATACGTTGCCTGCTGCCTTTGTACCCTTCAATTAGTAATTACTCTGTGAGTCTTATTAATAAATGAGAACTCAGTTTAGAACTGCATATTAATGGATTGAATAAAAACCAATTATAAATTTATGATTTTTTTTTTTGGAAAATCATAAGATCCTGATTTTTTTTAATAATTCTAATGATAAAAAAAAAATCTTAGATAACTCTTTTTGTGTAAGTTATTCATCTTATCAGCTAAGTGATGGTCACGCACTGATCTTTGCTTAACCTAGTTAATCAAATATATCAACTAAAATCATTAAAATTTTATATGAATCCACAAAAGAGATATAATTGAAAAAAGTCTAGATATATGTAAATCTACATACAATACATCTATATATAAAATCCGGATTTTAGTCGAGCGATATGTAGATACTGAACCCGGTATCTATCATTCATTAGTACAGCTAGAATCCAATACGACATTTTTTACAATCCCCAGGCACAAAGAGCGGGCGTCCACCCCCACACACGCAAACAACCCCATACAAACAAGAGTTGCGTGTGTGTGTGGTAAAAACTTGAAAAAAATCACACTGACCCGCGCACACACGTGTACAACAGCGGAAAAAATCACCGACACAAAGAAAGTCCACCGAAAACTTCTATAACAACTTTTGTACGCAGACAAGCGTATTACACTCCTACAGTTAAAGCTACAAGGAAGTTGTATTGGTGTGCGTGAGTGCAGCGTGTCCGTACGAGGGCTAAACTTAGCGCATCTATGTGTTTGTACTCACAGTTGCAAGAGCCCGAAACTTCTTGAGCGCACTGCTCCCGTGCATAAACCTTTGTTTTATCATTTTATAATGTGCCGTATTACAATCAATTAAAAGTCATTTCCATTATCCGTAACGTGAGTTACGATCTTTCGACTCGTATAGAACGCTGCGCGACGCGGGTAGTTTTCGTATGAAAGTTGGTGGCGCGAGATGCAACGAGAGGGACGGGAACACGCGAGTCTATCGCCGTCTCTGTCCCGCGCCACCCGCCGCCCGGGGCGCAGGGTCGGGCGGCGCGGGGGCGTCGTGTCGCGTTGATGAACATTTTTCTCATTTTTTCTTTATTTTTTTTTATGCGAATCGTTTTTAAAAGGGTTTCGTCATAATTACGCCAGCGGCCCCTGATTACGTTAACGCAACCGATAAGCTCGCGTACCATAGCTACGGATACTTCCGTTCCTTTCGAAAAAAGCCTAGTCCATTGTTCGCATCTTAATATTCCAAAATTATCAGATGATGTTAATTAATTTGATAATATCAAGTCTGTTCACAAACACAGAAATTAACGTAAACACTGCACTGACTGGCAATAAGAACAAAGCGGTCGTCGGATTTAGAAAAAAATAAAATAAAAAACATCGTACACGTACGTAGACAGAAAAAAATACGGAATCCCCAAAAAAGCGAGTTCAAGTGAAGGCTATAAAAATTGAGTAAGACGTAAAAAAAGATAAGGAAATGATACAAAAAGGCAAACGTAAACAATGCGTTAACGTACGCATGTCTCGAGAGAGTGGACGTCTCGGCGCGGGAAACTTATTTTCCCGCCTTTTCTCGCGCCGCCGTTGTTGTTGTTTCACTAATATGAATCTAATAAGAATTTGCAATGCGTGCGAAAATTGTATAAACAATTTTTTATACATTCTGCATTTAGCATATTATCGGTACAATAAAAGAAAAATATTATGATAGAGTAATAAATGAAATAATTTATCGGGTTAATGTGTTTATTTACGGAAAACATCCTCTTTTTTTCTGTTAAAACGTTCGATACGTATATGTAAGTAAAAATAGTACGTTTTTCCGAGAAGGAGAAACACGAAAAAGTTTTTCAATAACACTAAAACATTAAGCAGTATCAAAAATCGGATAATCCGCGCTTATTTCGGCCGCATCCTCGCTAGAAGGGGAAACAAAAAAACTGACGGCCGGCAGCAGTGTAGCAGGAACCGCGGCGCGCGCCGGCCGCATCCAAAACATTCTATTATTTTATATTACGTGTTTCATTTCGCGTAGAGTTTTGGACGGCGCTAGTTATGCGGCGCGAAATATGCACTAAATTGTGATCATTGGACATTAAAAATAAAATGGAGCACCGTGAACGGTTTTCGTCAAACAAAAACAATATTTGTCGGCAACATTTTTTGGTAAAACACCGCAACTAAACGCAGTTCAAACTAGATTTTTCTTTTCTGGATTCATTTCACTCACAAACTAATGCAGTTAAACAAGTTTCCGTTTGCGTATGTTATGTTTATTTTTTCAATGAAACAATAACAAACTGTAGGAGTAAACTGTAGAGCGACAGACAGAGGGGGTTTGAGTTACGGGGGCAGAGAAAGAAGTAGAAGATGGCGCTTGCTTCTTCTGTGAGCCTGTACTACTCCATAGTGCAACGTGCTGCGAGACACTATTTAGAAGATTACTGTCATACAGGTACGTAACTTTGTACAGTGAATAAAAAATTTAAAACGGCATATAACGTAATGAAAATTGAATATTTATTTATTTAGGATTACCACCATTAGTTACAAGGATACTTTTGTATGGCTGTTACATTGCAATATTACAAACATTGCACTAATAATTATTGATAAATACCACATGCATTAAAAAATAAACAGGTTTAATAAAACATTAAATAAATTTAACAACACTTAAAGATAAAATAATAATAAAAAAGAAACACTTGACAATCTGAGTTGTAAAGATAATGACCTAATAAATAAGGTTATACATTTATTTAACAAGTAGCCTGGGTTTTAAATAAGAGGAATATTTTTTAACAGGCAAAAATCTACTTAAATGTCAAATACTTTCTACAAACTTGTCTAAAATTTATTTGTGATTCTTTATTTTAATGATATCGGATATAGAATAATAATAAATAGACTATATAAACTATCAATTAATTCTCGCCAATTTAAGATACCTTTTTACAATTATTGCGTATTTTTTTTTTCATACAAAACTAATGAAAATCATCTCAACCTAAAACATTCTTTTTTCAATGAAATCAACATTTTCTATTACATTTTTATAACAGTGACTAATGAAGTTGAATCTTTTTTCGTCCTTTTTACTACAGTTTATTAAATAAATATATACATACATTATTAAACACATTTAATAATTAACGCTCTTATTTTAAAAAAAAACACTACTCTATGTATAAAATAAAAAAATATTAAAATGAACATCAGGCGGGCTATATGCTTGTTTGCAACCTCAGTGGTATAAAAAAAAATTTAAATTACATCAGTGAAAAAAAAAAACGGAAATCTCTTCTTGTTACAATCTGTTAAAATGAACATATAATAAAATATTTAAACATATAACTATTATCATAAATTTTATCAAAATATTCGTTTAAATTAAACAAGTGTAAAATATTCCTTTAAGATATTTAAAGGAAATTAATTTAAATACCATTTAAAAAACAGGTTTATTTTCTAATTATCAATATCTTATGCACCGATTCTTAAATACTAAATTAATATAATTAATTACATGTTCGTACATAATTAAGTACAATTACAACATAAGACTAACAATATGAACATGTATACAAAATTACAATTAAAAAATATATATAGAATAATCAATCTAAAAATTTTAATTTGTGATTATAAAAATTAAAAATTAAACTCTTTAAATTTTGATGTACTATTTTGAACTCTATATAACATAAATATAGTAAGAAACAAGTCTTTAAAATACTGACTGATAGATGTATACTCTAGCAATCTTTACCTGCAACTGAGACGACTGGAAAAGTTAGTAGTTCTTTTATGGGAATGGCCATTAAATATTATAATAAGATACCGATGGATATTTTGGATCTGCCTTTTAATATGTTTAAAACTGTTATTAAAAAAACACTTATTGAATAAAGCCTGTTACACACTAAACGATTACTTGAATGACAAATGTGCATGGTGTTAGTCGATCATGCACCACGGGCTTTTAACAACCATGTAATTTTAGACATAGTAAGATTTTATATAGACCAGCCCGATAAATAAACGATTATTTTTTAATTTTTATTTTATACGCAACTTAGAATGGCAAATAAGCTGACAGTCCACCTGATGGAAAGTGGTAACCGTCGCCTATAGACATGTGCAGTACCATAACCATAACAGAGTATACTGTTTCGCCCATGATACCCTCCATACGTTGCCATCCCTGAGGACTCAGGTGTTATTACTTATCAGGTGTAACTGCTTCACGGTTGAAACACGAATGGGACAGAGGTACCCAAGCAAACGACTTTTTTAATATTGGATTCGAAGGAAAAATAAAATCCTGCGTATACAACGGACAGTGTACGGACGACAAAATTTCCCTTTGTGCAAGCCTTGTGTAAACTTGTACAACACGTGTGCGTCGTTGCATGTAATTTTAGAGGTTATATTATGACCAGACTTAAATCTATGCTGAGGATTGTCTGTGGTCAAACTTAAGAGTCCGGACAGAAGAGGTAAAATGAATAGAATATTTTATTCGCGGGCAAATCCTTCGGTTGTGTGGCCTGTTAGTGTTTGGTACAAAATAAAAACGTTACTTACTCTTTTTCGACATTCCTATAAATCACCATAGTGTTGCATTATAAGTTATCAGCGTTGTATTATTATGTATAGAGAAGGCTATACTCGGAGTCTCTTTTCGTGATAGAATCCGAAATGAGCATATCCGCAAAAGGACCAAAATAACCAACGTAGCCCGCAGAATAAGGAAGCTTAAGTGGCAATGGACTGGTCAAATAGCGCGAATAACCGACAACCAACGGGGAAGCAAGGTTCTTGAGTGGCGACCGCGTACGGGCAAACGCAGTGTAGGACGACCCCCGACTAGATGGAGTGACGACCTGAAATGCATTGCAGGGAGTCAGTGGATGCAGGTGGCTCAGGACCGTTCTTTATGGCACTCTATGGGGGAGGTTTACGTCCAGCAGTGGACGAATAATGACTGAAATAATGATAATGATTATTATGTTATTATTTCCAAAGGTCTAACTCAAAAACTGGTATATTTTTACGCCACCCATACAAAGTGGTTAAGTCCATATTTCATTAGTTTACTCCCGAAATCCAGACATACGAAGTAACGGTCAATAAGCTAGTTTTATTCAAGCCGTCTACGTGCGAACGAACAGTCAGGAAACATTCAGATAAATTATTATTATATATATATATATATATATATATATATATATATATATATATATATATATATATATAATTAAGATAATTACTAAAATATCCAAAGACAGATCACTACGAGGCAATCAGCTTTTCTTCAAACCCATTACAAGTAATAAACAACTCTATTACATCTATCTGTCTCTTTCGTTTTCATCGTATTTCAATTGTTTGTTTATAATCTGAAAAGGTTTTAATTGAGAAAAATAATGAGCTTTCTTCAGGAGGAATTAAAGAAAAAGAATTGAGTGTTGTTTTTTTTATATAAATTTGTATTTTGTTTTACTGTTACTTTGAAACTGACTTATATATGAATAGATTACGCGGTTACAAATCAAATCAAAAGTCTTTAATATTGTATGCTCCTACTAGGATTTCAGATTTGTGTTTATCTATACTAATAGTATCAAGAAAGAATACTCGTAGTTTGTTTATTTGTTTGTAATCGATAAACTCAAAAATTAACCAATCGATTTTAAAAATTCCTTCACCTATAGATTGCTACATTGTCAGCGAGAAACATAAGCTATATATTAATATTTTCAAAAATTCAAGTATATCATATAAAAAGTTTGAAACGTTGTTGGTATGTACAAAATAGATAGATACAGTCTTTTATAGTAAGTTATTACTCACTATAATATTCACACTGTGGTAATAAATAATATTTTAACTATATTTGCCTGTCTATATTTATATTTTTTTTCTGTGCATCCAAGTCGTATGGAGTGGTAACGCGTGAGAAGTACCGTGAGCATCACAGTATATTTTGTATACTGTGATGCTCAGTCTATCGGTATCTATGGTGCTGTGTTCATATGTGTATGTGTGTGCGTGTGAGTGTGTTTGTGTGGGTATGTATGTGTGCATGTGTGTGTGTGTGTGTGTGTGTGTGTGTGTTTTCTAAGTGTGTGTGGCTAACGACCCGTTAGCCACTCTGAGTTGCTAAAAAAACTTGATAGAGACCATCAAATTCCAAAAGAAGAAGTCGCAGGCAGGGACTAGTTTAAAAATAATAATTTTAGATAATTTATTCTATACATTAACAAGAGCTTTTATTTACCAAGAGCATAATAAAAGGAATCCATATATTAAAACACAAATTTTCCTGTTAATAAATGTAAGTAATAAGTTTCAGTGGTTTCGGCTTCACTTATATGTATGAGTCGGGATAATTATGTTCTTTTACAGAGATGCTTAGTAATGCTATTAATTGATGACCTCCGTAGTCGTGCTTATTAATTTATAATACTAGTTTTCACCCGCGACTGCGTACGCGTCGTACGCAGTCGCGGGTGAAAACTAGGATACAAAGTTGCTTATGTCTTTTCCTATTCTTTTTTTTTATACAACTTAGAATGACAAACAAGCTGACGGTCCACCTGATGGCATGTGGTAACCGTCGCCTATAGACATGAGCAGTACCATGGACATAACAGAGTATACTGTTACGCCCATGATACCCCCATGCGTTGCCATTCCTGAGGACTCAGATGTTATTCTTCTGTACCCTGTAAATTCACGCCATATCCCAACCTTCAAACCGAAACACAGCCATGCAAACACAACTGCTTTACGATGGAAACACGAATGTGACCAAGCAAACAACTTTTGTACAAAGTCTCCAAATATCTCCGAACAAATATCACATTGAAACTTTCAAGAATAGAGCATAATTATCATCATCATCATCATCAGCCTTTAAGTGTCCACTGCTGAACATAAGCCTCCCCCTTGGGGGATTTTACCAGTAATTATCACACTTGCCAGGCGGATTGGCAACCGCAGTTAGGCTTTAGTTTTAAGAGGGACGCTGCTGCCTATCCCTTGTCCTTCCTTAGTCGACTCTTACGACACCCACGGGAAAGGAAGGGGTGGCCTATGCTATGACGGGACCACACAGTAATAATATATAGAGCAGGGGGGAAAGGGATTGTCAGCAATGGAGGTTCCCCCTGGAAACCATCGTGAACAATTCTTGTTGAATTCATCACGACGGGCTTGCTTGACTTGACTGACTTGCTTCATTCTCACCTATCATCCTTCACTGGTGCTTCGCCGATGTATACCGATAGCGATAGCACGGGTGGGGTTACCATTCCATTATTACCCATTAAAATGCATATTCCTTCTTAAAAAGTCGGCGACACACCTATTATTTCTTTGATATCGCGGATGCCTATGAAGGACGGTAAACACTTACAATCAGGATCCCCCCTGTCCCCTATAATA